TCTCGCCGGTTTTGTGCATGAACGGAGGCTCTTCTAAAGTACTTCAGTGACAAGAAGACATTTGACAGGTCGTTCTGTGGGCGTTTTGACGTCGCAAATTCCTGCTTACCCCATTCGCGTTCATCCATGCTTTGCAAAGAGAGAATGACGCACGAGGCGACAACTGTCAAACGGCCCTCTTCCTTGTCATCGTTGTAAAACTTTAATATTAATCCACGATGTCAAAAGGTCGAAAAGTCCCGCGTGTTTCGCCACGCCTAGGATTCACGTATTGACGAAGACATCGGCGCAAAAGGAATCGAAGCGAAAGAACCGTTTTTTGATCCGTTACACTTTTTTACATTCGAAATAGAACTAGATATATTTAAAATTTGGAGAAAAAAAATAGTGCAGAAATGTGTAACTGTAAAGGAAACAGACTTGGAGGAGGGAAAAACACAACCGGTGGCAATGTTCATTGCTCGTCTTCGATCATTTTGATCTACCAGATGAAGAGATAAGCACGAGAGAGGTGGTGCTCCGATCTCTATCATCGTCCGTACGAAGAAAATTTTGTGCGCACGTTTATTCCTGTTATAAGTTCGATTGACCAAGAGTCTGCGAAGGGAGGAGGATACTCAGGAACTATAAGAAGGGGGAAGTATACGTTAGACTGTTAGCTTTTGCGATACTCACTTGCCGACGAAGTTCTCGAGCACGGAACTCTTGCCCGCACTCTGGCCGCCCACCACTGCGATCTGCGGCAGATCGAGTTGCATATGCACGCCGAGCTGCGTGAACGCATCCTGCAGTTTGTTCACGATCGGGATCAATTGTTCCATGCCCGTGTTGCCCGCCATCCTGCCGTCGGAGTCGCGTAAGCCGCGTTATAACACTGCTCGGTCGTACACGAACGCTAGGGCGCTCCGACACACATATACACACACGTACACACGCGGACGCACTCGGCACTACCACCTAGAGCTGCTGCTGTTGTTGCCGCTGCTCCTCCGCCACTGCCAGCACACACGTACGACCGCCCTGAAGAGGGTGGCTGACGGAGGCGAGTGGCCGTCCGTTACGGGCTCTAATCGTATACTAACCAAGATGGCCGATTTCCGCGAAGACTGCTCGCGCACGCTTACTCGCTCACTTCACCGCATCTTCCCCGCGAGAGCGGCGGCTGAACGAATCGCGCGATCTCGCATCGCTCTCGCTCTAATGTAGGGAAGAATCTAAAGCTCGCTCGCAGAAACGAGCAGCGGCACCGTACTAGTACGTACTATTGTACGTACTGGCACTCCACGTATAAATGAGAGATCGGAGCTGACTCGCGGCGTCTGCCGAGAGAGAAAGAGAGAGAGAGAGAGAGAGAGAGGGGTTCAATCGATAATCGAAGCGTGCGCACAAGCCGTCACTGTCGTGACCCACTTTCGCGGCCACGAGATAAAATCCATATCGTCCGTCGACGCTCTGACCTTTTTACTACGCGCGTCCCACGTATATGTATTGTTCGCGCGCGCGCGCGCCCGCGACGGAAATTCGACGAGCGACGTTCACTTCCGACGAAGTGGAGCGGACAATCGATGCCGCGATATCAGCTGGTTTCCTCTACTATCTACTACTATATACGCGAACGAATGCCCGTTATTCATTTCGGAGCTACAGCTTCTTCTTATCTCTTTTTTTTCTCTCTCTCTTCTTTTCTTCCTTTTGCGAATATATGTCTGAATAGATATACCCGCTCGTAATTTCGTTTCGAGCAGTTGTATATATCTTAACCCGATGCACGTAAAATGAACAGACCTATCGCGACGAGCGAGCGCCCGCGAGATTTTCAAAATCACGCGGCGAAATCCCTGCCGTAACACGAAAATGAAAATCATATAGTTTTCTCTCTTCTCACCTTTCGCTTCTTTCCGCGAGGCAGAAAGAGAGAAAATGGAATCGTCCCCGAAATGGTCGTATCGATTGATTCATGCTTGAGTATATATATATAAGCCTATTATAGTCACATATTGTATGTACGTATTTTCTTCTTGTGTGTATACAGTGTATGTACTTCTATATCGAAGAAGTTTGTTCTTTCTAGCAGTGTGTTGGTCGGATCAGATTTTTCGCATGCGCGACAGTAATGGCGGTAATACAATGTGGTACGCGATTCAAAAGAATTGGCAATATTATTCGAGATGAAAAAGATAATGCCACATTCTGTTAAGGTTATATTTGAATCAGGCAGCTATCAAACTGTTTCACAGAACCAACAGTCATGATGCGTGAATATCTAGACACGATGCGTCCGATTTGAAAAGGTTTCAATGATTTTTTTATCTGTGTTGATGGCCGGCTTATTTTGACCCACACGTCTCGTTAGGGTCAGTCCAAGCCAATTTAAATACGAAGAAGAAAAAGAAAAGGTTTTAACCGGAAAATGAAGGCATTCCAGACACTTTCCGTCATATCCGCAATTATATTCGCAACGTAAATGCAAGAGCGCACCTAAAAGGAACAGACCTTTAAGCACATCCTCATATCGAGGCGAGCTTCAAATGCGTACCCGCTCGATTTTTTTAACCGTCGTGCGCTTCCACCATCTCCCTGCCCTGTCGAGTTCCTGTAGCATTGGGCGCGTACAGACAACATATGTATATAGCTCTATGGGGGCGCGATCAGTATTTTCTTACAGTGCGAATCCAAAATGTCAGACATCGATAAATGGATAGAGATCGCGAAAGAATGCAAATACTTGCCCGAGTATGACCTCAAGGTATAATAACACGTGCATATTACGTTGATTCGTTTCCCTATGTGATTTAATTTAATCGGGCAATTAGGTTACTCGTTCTGTATCTCGTCCGTGTGTTCACCCTGTCTTCCCCCAATGTTGATGATGATATTAATTTTTACAATTTTGCCGACAGAAACTCTGTGACATAGTATGTGATCTGTTGCTGGAGGAGTCCAACATCCAACCTGTGTCCACCCCGGTGACGGTGTGCGGCGATATCCATGGTCAGGTAATGGATGTACGACCTAACCTTAAGATTGGAGCATTCACTGTTCATCGCAATGTGTAGGATTGATTTTAGTTTAAATCCTAAGAGATTGCATTAAATTTTAAGCAGTATTCCCAACTAATATCGTTATTCTCTCATTTCTTTTACAATATATCTTCCGTCTTTATAATTCTGTACAGTGATGTGCCAGTCATGGCTCAATTATGTACCTCAGGTTGCTTACATGTTGCTCGTGTTGTTTGTTGCAGTTTTACGATTTAGAGGAATTGTTTCGCAATGGTGGCCCTGTACCAGATACGAATTACATATTCTTGGGAGATTTTGTCGATCGGGGCTATTACAGTTTAGAAACATTTACTCGGCTGCTTACACTTAAAGCTAAATGGTCAGATAGGATAACGCTACTTCGCGGTAATCACGAATCTAGACAAATCACGCACGTTTATGGATTTTATGGTAAGCGCAATAATTTTTCTATTATTTTATGCTTATACCAAGAGCTTTGATTTTATTGCTCCTTTTATCATCTGTTATAGATGAATGCCAAAACAAGTATGGTAATGCTAATGCATGGAAGTACTGTTGTAGGGTATTTGACTTGCTCACAGTTGCTGCCGTAAGTATTAGTACAAAAGATATTTTTCCACAATTTTACAATTTCTTATTACTTAAATAAAATATTTTGTTTCAGTTAATTGATGAACAGGTTCTTTGTGTACATGGTGGATTATCTCCAGCGATAAGAACACTAGATCAAATTAGAACGATTGAAAGAAATCAAGAGATTCCACACAAAGGTATATAATGATAATTAAAATATATTATTTATATAAGATAATATTTGATATTCTACATTTATAAATATTACATAATTAGACAAATTATTTTTATAAAACAATATTGAATATTTTTTATTTAATTACTGTATTATAGGTGCTTTCTGTGATTTGGTCTGGTCTGATCCAGAGGATGTAGAAACATGGACAGTAAGCCCGCGTGGTGCAGGTTGGTTGTTTGGCAGTAAAGTGACTTATATGTTCATGGAAGTAAACGATCTTAAACTCATCTGTAGGGCACACCAACTAGTTCAAGAAGGTATGTTTTTTGTTCAATAATCTTCCAATGATATCTAACATTTTAATTTTTACCATATTTTCTTTGTACATCAAAAATATAAACGATATAATATGTACTTCTTATCTTTGGCAGGTTATAGATACATGTTTAATGACAAACTTGTCACAGTGTGGTCAGCTCCAAATTATTGTTACCGATGCGGTAATGTAGCTAGCATCATGCAGTTCACAACAGTGGATCAGAGAACACCCGTGCTGTTCCAGGCAGTGCCTGATTCCGAGAGAGTAATCCCACCTCTAACGCCCACACCATACTTTTTGTGATCTAACTTAGTGGCTCATTTGTACAGATGCAGGAGAGAAGTGTCTGTGTCTAGACTGTACGGAATCACATGACTAAATTGATCGGACCCAGGCTGGTACTATGACGGAACGATAAAATATATCACAGACCGATTATACATATTACTCTAGAATTTTGATTCTCTTAAAAAGGAAAAAAGAACAAAGAATTGTTTGATACGTTTTACGATCGAAATGCGATATTTAAAGGACTGTCGTGTGAATTGTCGTGTGATTACTCTTGTTCAGGGAATGTTCTTTAGATTTTTTAAGAACTTTATCAGGTTTTACATGTTATAAAGCTAACTTTTATATATATACATAGTATCTGCCATTGCATCAGCCTGATTTTTGTAGTTCGAGGAAAAAGAAACAATATTTTGCACCAGAGCAAATGTGAACATTCTGTGGTCTAGACGCTTTTGCTGTCTACTGTGTACATCTAATAGAGCATTCATATCTCAGAGCAGCATCCTGGACTTTAATGTTCAAAAGACTAAGAGCTTTCAATAATTTATGAACGCGAATAACACAAATAGTCCAGTGCTGTGTGCAAAGAATTAAATAAAAAAAGAGAAAAAAAAGAAAATTCAAACATTCCGGCAAAGTACACTCTCTGAGTACAGTGAATGCTTCTTTGATTGCAATCGTTGTGCGTAGAATTCAGGTTTATTAAAGCGTGAGCATATATAGTACTATTAAGGTCTTCCTGAACATGTAAATGATCTGTTTCTGATTTAGGTACTGTGTGTGCTGCGTGCAGTTCTTTTTTTCTTCTAGACGCGCAATCAGTGTTCTTAGTAGCAGAATCGTAAATTCGGCTCTTTTTCGCCGAGGTACAAATAGCATGTAGCGATAGAGCCAAAGTTTCCTGCCTAGGTAAGGAAAAAAATCCGGATCATTATATCATCGATGAAGGTTTTTCTTATTGTTTTTATGCACATGACATTTTTTACGCTTAATTTTAAGAAATTCTGAGCTCAATATTGCCCGTAAAGTATCTCGAGATACATATTGATATTCTTTTCAAAAATATATCCATTGTTTGTATTCTCGCCGCACTTCTCTCTCTATATATATTCATGTACAAAGCAATATTTTCAAATACTATTGTATTCTCCGAATCTGTACAGAATTTCCAATATTGTATGCCAAATCGCTGTCGTACTAAATAATCGTAATTAGCTAATTGTCATAAGTTCATTAATGTAGGGAGCAACTTTAAAAGGAAAAAAAACCGAGACCCTTGCAATGTGCCTCTAAATTAATAAGCGTTTGTGTAATATAATAATATGATATTAATATGACATAATTAATGGAATGCACCGGCCATTGCGTATCATAAGCCTGAATTCTGACCATCGATTTTTGCTAGCTCACGATAATTCCTAATCGATCACAGACCCGACAAATACGGCATTGGCA